TGAGGGTGTATTTCCCAGGACACATTTGGTGGGGTCCTTTTGTGGCTGGGTCATGAGAGACACCGGCAACCTGAAGCAGATGACTGCTTGTAAGCAATAAACGGGCTTCTCCCACTTTATTTCTCCCTTTGACTGATTTTGGCTTCAGAGGTTATTTGCCCTGGGCTGGGAACATATTTTTCCCCAGGAGTTACAGTAGGGGAATAGCAGGTTCAGAAAGAAGGAGTAGCAGACAGTTCAGGCTAGACCAATGGTGGGAGCAGGGTGTGAGGGGGGGGGCAGGGACCACACTAAAGGCAAGGTTGTAGTTATGGTCTAATTCCAGCTCTAGGCATGGAGCATTGGAAGCTAAGATTTTTAATTAACAGGAGGTGATAAAAATGTCCTGGCTGCTGGAGCAATTAGGTGACTTGAAGGGGCTTGAAAGAATAACTAAAGAAGCATATAATGGGAGGTACGCAAATCTGTGAGGCTATGAGTGATGATACGAAACATCTGCCTAGCAGAGGTAACCTGAATATTTAATGTTGTGAATCTATAAATATTTAACTACATTCAAATATTTAGCTACTGAAATTGGCTCTCTAAAAAATGAGATTTTCTGAATACAGGGCCATTTTTTCAATGCACAGTGTGGTCTAAGCAATTCATTTAAATACCATTTTTGACAACTTCCCATTGGTTACAGAGTACAGCCCATCCTGTGTTGGGATCTCCTCTGATACACTGATCAGATACACTGATCATACAGAGCATAACATAAGCCCTGATCTGGCCTTCTTTCACCGCACACAGGATGTCAGGAAGTCTCTCCTAGTTTCTTGACGTTTGCTGAGTGTATTCTTTTCTTGCTCTCCCTATAGGAGTCTTGCAAGACTCCCCTCTGGGCAAAATTGTGCCCCATTGTAGAAAATAATATGCACTTAGGGGACGGTTAACAACAACCCCCACAACCACCACAACAACAATGGCTAAAAATGAGCGACGGATGCTTGTAAAGGAGGTGGGGAAAAAAAATCTCCTGAACATTCTGCTACAGACAAGCTCTCAGACAGATTAATTCTAGGATGATTTGCATGGAAATAGAGGACATGGAACTTAATTCCCTCTTAACCATCTGTGCCCACATACCCTTTGAAAAGCCTTTGTATACCCCTGGGATCATTCCCTAGTTTAAAGATTGCTGCTGTGGACACATGGACACACTCTTTGTCTTTCAAATATTTGCATCTAAGGGCATTCCCTCCTTTCTCAGCACCTTCTCTACCTGCAAATTTAAGGAAAGCCCCTTGACACAGCCCCCAAGTGAGAGGAAGGTAAGTTTCTTCTGGTCTCTGTTAATTCTGCTGCATTGCCTATACCTCTTATATTAGTCAGAGTTCTCCAGAGAACACAGCCAATAAAATAGAGATAGACCTAGATATAAGAGGATATTTACTATAGGAGTTGGCTCATGGAGGCTGAGAAGTCCTATGATCTGCCCCCTGCAAGCTGGAGAACAGGAAAGCCTATGGTGTAGGTCAAGTCCAAAGGCCCAAGAATCCTGATCTGAGCCCGAAGGTGTGATCCAGGGGTGCCAGCATCCGATGTCCAAGGGCAGGAGAAGATGGGTGTCTCAGCTCAAGCAGAGAGTGGATTTGCTCTTCCTCCCCCTTTTTGTTCTATTTAAGCCCTCAGTGGATTTATTGGATGATGCCCACCTACATTGCAGGAGGTGATCTTTCCTCTACCAATTCAAATGCTAATTTCTTCCAAAGACTCCCAAAGGCATACCCAGAAATAATTTTTTTACCAGCTATCTGGACATCACTTAGCCCAGTGAGACTGAACATTAAATTAATCATCACATCTTCAGTACCTCCACTTCTGTTCCCATTGCCATCTCCTTGATTTCCAACCTGCTCTTGTTTGCCATGGCACTTCCTGCTCTATTGCTTGATTGTTGGTATCACATGTGGACTTTGGTTCTGTCTGCCACCTTAGAGAGGCTCAGGGAATTGATGCCCTTTGAAGACATGGGGGAGACATATTCATGCCAGCATATTGGTAAAGGGCATTTCTGATAAAGCAGCAATAATAATAACAGCTAATAGCTATTGAGTTCCAGTTGGGCGTAAAGCCCTTCACATACCTCATTTTGAGCCTCACAACAACCCTGAAGGTGGACAGTATTGTCACCATTTTGCATTTGAGGTCAGTGGATGCTGCAGTCCATGCTCTCCCCTTTACACATGCTGTCATGGAAAAGGAGAGGCACCGAAGACGGGCCAACACAGACTAATGCTGATCACATGAACTGACAGTCCTGGAGCCCTCACATGTGCCAGGTTCTCTTCTGAAGTTTTTATAGGTAAATTATACCTCCTCTCATTGAAATTCTATGCAACAGTTTGAAAAAAAATGAGATGGATACAGCATAGAAAAATGTTTAAGATATATGGGGAAAAACAGGTTGTAAAATGATATGGGCTATAGGAACAAATTTTCTTTAAAAAAAAAAGAGGAAAAAACATAGGCATAGAAAAAAGTCTAGAAATACACTGAACTATTGATAAGATAAGCTATCTTAAGAGGGTGGGACCATGGGGGACTTTCTTTTCAATCCTTGTGAAATATTTGACTTTTTTTCCTTACAAAATGCAAAAACTCTACTTCCTTAGGGCATCTCCCTGTTACCCCTGCCTGCCTCTCAGCACATTGCTTGTACTTTCTAAAGTCCTTTTTTTCGATCTTAATTGTTTAACATAGTAATCTTTCCTCCTGAACCATAAACTCCTTGAACCCAGGGTTTGTATCATTCATTTTTGTACAAGGCTGAACTGTATTCAAAATAGCCTGACCCTATAAACAGCAGGCATCACCCATCCCATCTCTGTCTTCCTTCCCAACATCCTTACCATGTTTCCCTTCCCTTCCCAAATCAACTACTTGTACTCCAGTCCTTGTCTCTGCATCTGCTTCAGGGTCCCAAAATGAGGTGGATGAGGTTAAAGATAGCTGGGTAAAGAAAAAATGAACAGATTTCTTTACTACAGAATTTTCCAGAGCCTTTAACATACGTATTAATGTCTTTTTTTGTGTGTGTGACTTTCCAAGAAGGAGATTTAGCCTGACCCTATTTTGCCTATAAAACAGCAATTCTGCACCATCCAGACTGTCTCCTCAGCACAGTGCTAGGCTCCTGGCTGAATAGCGTGGAATTGGGTTCATGCTGGCATTTGGAATTTAGAAATAGGCTGGTCTGCTGTCTCATATGAACATATATTTATATTTATAAATATAAATTATATTTGTATATACTTATTCACTTATAATAATAAACATATTCACTCACAGTGATAAGATGATTTGCAAGGTAATTTCCACTCATTTTGTCTATATGGTTGAGGTGTGTATATAATCAGACAATTATTGATACATGTGTGCAGGGAGAAAGAGATTGAAAATGGAACTTCAGCATGAATCCTAGAAGCAGTAAAGCCTCTGAATGGGAGGAAAAAGGCAAACCTCTAATTCTTTCTGGTTCTTGATTTCTTTTTAAGACTTGTCAGCTAAAGAGAGTGAGGACTCTTGAACCAAAATTAGTGTAGATTTATCCACCCAAAGCCAGCCTTCAAACTGCCTGGCTACGCGAGAGAACGCTAACCGCAGCCCTGGATGGGGCACTGCTCATCAAGTACTTCTGTAAAGACAGCCCACTTGTCTGCAGGGGCTGGCCAGGCTTCTCGGTTAGCATTTGTCCTTCTTTCTGTGCTTCCTTATAAACAGTGAGGAGTTAGACTTGAGTAACTAACCTGTGACCTCAGATTTTCCACAGGCTCCGACAAGTGTTTTCTTTCTGTACACAAGAAAATATTTGGGGTGGTCAGTTTGCTATTGAAAAAGATAAAACCAAATTGGCAGACTTGGGAGCCTGGATGAGAATCTGTTTCAGAGGCACAGTGGCACAGTGGATGAGGTTAAAGATGAGGTTCCAGCTTTCTCCGTTCACCTTTTGGAGGGAGGCCTGAGGAAGAGACACCCACGGACTGGAGGGATGACAGAAGCACAGAGCCGCCTGAGATTTCTCACCTGCCAAATCCGGACAGGGTCTGCCTCTCCACCCGCCCAGGCAGGAGCCCAGCCTTGCCTAGCATGTGGGAGTAAGGTGAAGGCTTAGGACCAGGTGGGAAATTCACCTCTGAGTAGACATTGTAAGTTACTTGTGAGTAACTTAAAATCAGGGAACATTAGAACATTAGCACCAGAAGGGATGTTAGAGGCTGTCTAATTCCCCACGTTCTGCAGGATGTATTTAGGTGTCAGAAATATGGGAGGAGGTATTTCGAGGTCATGTAAGTTTGAAAATATTAGGATGTAGCAGATGCTACCAGGACCCTGCTTCAGCAAAACAGACTGAGTCCCAGCAACTCTTGTGTGTGTCTTTGTCTAAGGCTCTTGCTGAAGCCATGGAGGGCCAGTCTGTCCTTACGTAACAGGCCATGGGTACCAGGCACTTGACACCTGCCCACAGCAGTTCTTAAACCATGATGGGTGAGAGCTGTTGTGTGAACATCCCAGCCATCTGGCCCCTCGGGTGGGATCACTGAGGTGTGTGCTTTATACTGGCTTCTACAATTTCCCAGTGGGACTGAACTCCAGTTGTCCCCAGCAGCAGGCATCACCCGGCCTTTAGACCTGCCTTCCCTTCTCTGTCTTGCTTCCCAACGTCCTTACCATGTTTCCCTTCCCTTCCCAAATCAACTACTTGTACTCCAGTCCTCTCTGCATCTACTTCAGGGTCCCAAAGTAAGATAGCTGGGTAAAGAAAAAATGAACAGATTTCTTTACTACAGAATTTTCCAGAGCCTTTAACATTCATATTATGATTTTTGTGTGTGTGTGACTTTACAAGAAGGAGATTCAGCCTGCAGCATTTCCCAAATATTTGACTACAAAACTATATTTCTCCACCACAGGTCTCTTGAGACCAGTATTCCAAGCAAAATGTTTTAGGAGGTTTTCCCTATATTTTATTGATGAGAATGTTGTCACTCTCCACATTTTATTGACAAGAGGACTTATCCCAGGAAAGTCAAGGTTTTGTCTAAAGTGTCACAGTCAGGAATGGCAGAATTCAGGTTTCCTCTTCTCTCTTCAGTACACAGTTTTGCATCTGTACATCATGCCTGGTCAGCACAGGGGCAGAATTCTAGGGTCAAAAACCATGGAATTGGAAGTTCAGTTTCAGCAGCTCTGTTTGGTCTCCCTCACCAGGGAGCCATGCCGCCACCCTTAGTCACCTCCAGAAATCCTATGAAACCAGAGAGTTCAGTCAGCTGGCTTTGTTTTTTATTGTGGTAAAACACATACCACATAAAATGTACTATTTTCATTACTTTTAGTTGTACAGTTCAGTGGCACTAAGTACGTTCATTTTGTTGCACAACCACCATCTTCATACAAATCCAGAACTTTCCCACCTTCACGAATGGCAGTGCTGCCCCCATCGAACACCAGCTCTCCATCCCCCTGCCCCAGCCCCCAGTCCTGACCACCCCTCCAACCTCAGTGGTCCTTTGATCACCTCGAGTGCCTCATGTACATGGAATCATTCAGGATCTGTCCTTTTCTGACTGGTCCATTTCACATGACGTGTTGTCCTCAGTGTTCATCCATGGTAGGTAAGGGTCCAGCTTCATTCCTTCGCACGCGGATATCCCATTTTCCCAGCACTGTTTGTTGAAAAGACTGTCAGCTATTTTCTGAAACTTTTCTGGGGCATGTGTGGTTGGTTACTTTCTAATTTTCCTGTATACGCAGTTGTTTTTGAATGTTCCAGGCTTCACTGTCTGGCTCTCAAAAGAGGAAAAGAGAAAAATGAAGTGGGGAAAAAAAAAGAGTGTCAGCACTTTAAATCCTCTGGAAGTCACTTCAGTTGGAGGGGGAGGGGCTCGAAGCAACAGAGGGAGGGTGACAGCAATGGCTTCCTGCCACCTCCTTGCTCAGAGGCAGGGTCAGCAATCCCAGTGCAGAGCCCCAGTATTGGAGGACAGGGTCCTTTCTGCCCAGCCCAGCTGTTACAGGAACACAAGCACAGCTGCCTGCCACATCCCTGGGGGTGGGGGAAGAGAGCGCTACTGTGCAAGGACCTGAGACTGAGTGAAATTAATCAATTTATTATCTAAGTCTGCCCTTGGAAACTGCAAACTTTCAGTAGACTCCAGAGTTTCAAAGTAGTCACATTACATAGAGGGAGGCTCTTGAGCATGGGAGGCAAATTTCTGGTACCTTTTCCCTGCCGTCTTCCCAGGATCCTCTCTCTGTATTTACATTTTTGAAGAACTGCCATGTTGTTTTTCCATAGAGGCTGCACTGTTTTAAATTCCCAACAGTAATGCACAAGAATTCTAATTTCTCCACATCCTTGCCAACATTTGTTATTTGTTTTTTTTTTAAATCTCCATCCTAGCAGATGTGAAACAGTATCTCACTGTGGTTTTGATTTGCATTTCCCTAATGATTAGTAATGTTCAACATCTTTTCATGGGCTTATTTTCCATCTATATCTTCTTTGGAGAAATGTCTACTCCAATTTTGCCTGTTTTAATATTGTTTTTTGTTGTTGTTGAGTTGTAGGAGTTTCTTTTATATACTCTGGCTGTTAATCCCTGTTATTTGACTTTTTAAGTTCATTCCTATCTTACCATTTACACATATTAAAACCATACCACCAACCATTAACTCAATAAACCTTACACTGTATCATAGATAACTTAGAATCTGGCTACTCAAAACATAGTCCCCAGGCTGGCATCATCAGCATGCGAGCTTATTTGAAATGTAGATTCTTGGGCCTCACGCCATAACTTCTGAGTCAGAACCTGCATTTGAACAAGGTCCCCTGGTGATTTATATGACACTGAAATTGGAGAAGTGCTGCTCTAGAACACATGTGGCTCTGTACCACGTAAGATGCATTGGGCATTTGTATTTTTCAAGTTTTGATTCTAGAATGGTCTCATCCTGGCATTTTTGCTCTTTCTGATATTAAACTATGCAATTCTGATGGCAGGGTCACAAGTGTATGACCCTTCTTAACACTGACATGCTGAGATGGATGTTTTTCTCCAGGGTTGAATCAGATCAATCTGTATGTCTGCATCTTTTTCTATTGCTTTTCTTTTCCCTTCTCCCTGAACCAAAAATAAATGTAGCCAGTGGCTGTACCTTCTGTTTCTTTCCAGAAAAAAAAAAGGAACCGATTCCCATGCTGGTTTTCAGTGGCTCATCTGACACTGTGTTTTATTTCTTAGTAGCTGCTCTGTGTAAATTGTTCGTAGGCAATTCTCTTCTTAACCTCCAACTGGGGCTTTGTGCATAGAGGCAGTTATTACCTCAGCAAGTTAGTGGCATCAGTCCATCCCTTCTCCTGTGGGACTGTATGCCTTTAATAAGTACACTCCCTGAGTGACCATTTCTGACCTGCTGGGGTGGGTACATGGCCAAAGGTGAGACCTCTGCACAAGGAACATTCTAGTCAACTAGACTCCCCCTGACACTGTATCCTACACACCTCACTTATTAGCCTTGAAAAATACCTCTGATTCAGGTGGATTTCTGGAAAGGAAAATAAGGAACACAATACCCATTCTAATAGACACATTCACGTTGAGCATGGGTTGGCTGCTTACTATTGTATTTCCTCACGGTGTCTCTTGCTTTTAATGGTTTGCTGAACTTCCACTTACTCAGCTGAAGTTGTCTTTTAGTAACATAAGCATTATCTTTGTTTATACTTATTTCCATCACATTCAATGCATAGGTAGAAGAAACTTAAACTTTAATACATAGTTAGTTTCTCATGCTGAAATAAACCTGAAGGGAAGGAGGTGGGAGAGAGGCATCTCCATGAACACTGATGCTCAGTGTTAGTCCAAAATGTCAGTTTCTGCTCCTGTGGTGCCTCTGGTGAAGTGGCTGCAGGAAGGGGCTTAGCCGGGGAATGATGGTGTATGCAGTGGGTGTTACATATGGCCCACATCCATTCCCTTCCCTTTGATTAGTCTAAGTCCATTGCAATGACCTATGCCCCTGTTAGTTATCGGTTCTGAAACTGCAGGTGATGGAACAAGGTATGAAGTGATGTCAAATCAAGGGTGCCGTAGAGGTGGGAGAATTCTGAGAGGCTCTCTTGTCCTATGAAAAGATGGTTCCTTTTTTCCCCCTTGACCTTGTTCAGCCTGGAAATGACATCTGGAAGTCTGGCCGCCATATTGCTACTAGCCTGAGGATGAGGCCAGGACTGGGAGCAGCACAGCAGGGCGGCGGAAGGCCCTGGGACCTCGGTGAGCTTGCCAGTCGGCACACTCCAACACCCTGACCTGTGGTTCCTCAGTTCTGTGCAACAGTGAATTTCCTCATTGTCTTGGTCAGCTTCAGTTAGCATTTTTGTTTCCTATGACCAAAAGCATTCTAACAGATAGGGAAAATATGGACACTTTCCCAATATTTAAATGTTTTGGATTTGTTTAGTTTGCAGTGTTGTAAGTTCATGGACTAAAACAGATCCATATGCCAAAGTGTACAAACACATCCCAATGCTAAATATAAATGAAATGTAACTTTTAATCTTTACTTACATTTTAGATGACCCACTCCATGACTTTCCTTCACTAACACAGATCATCATGAGCTGGCTATTTTATTTCCACCGAGCTATGCACCTTTGGGGTGTAGAGGGATAACTCTGTGTTCAGAGTCTCCTGTTTAAATCTGTTCTCTTTGAACTTAGCTGTGGGCCCATCCAGGCAAGGCTCTAACCAGACTTGAGTATCACAATAATCAAAACATGTGTTTTGACTGCATTAATTTGGGGTAGGATAAAATTGATTCTTAAAAGGAAATTTAAAATTACGTTTAAACTTCAAATTAAATTTAAACTGGCATTTACAATGAAACATTAGCTATTTTTGAATGGTTGTTCCATGAGTATGGTGCACAATTCAAAGGCACAGCGAAAAGAAAGTCTCCCTCTTACCCCTGGCTTCAGCCACACAGCTCCGCCTCCTAGAGGCCATGATTGTTACTGGTTTTGAAAGGAAACCTATCTCCCTAACCCCCTCAGGCCTCACTCAGTCAACATAGTCATGAGCCTGCTGATATGTAAGCTATTCCGGAAAGCTGGATAGAGCCCTAGACTGAGACTTGCTAAGGCTGTGCTCTGGTCCTGACCTTGAGAAAACAGCAGAGCCCCTGACCTTGGTCAGTGATCTGGGCTTCTTTTTTGGAATGTGTGCTCATAATGCCTACTCCACTCTTCTCACGCGCTTAAACATCAGATGAGATAGAACAGTAAAAGATCTCTGGAAAGAAGAAAATGCAGCAACAGTTGAATGTGGACAAATGAAAATAGTTCACCCCATTGGTATCCAAAAATGGGATGAATATTTTCTTTCACCTGCTTAGAAATCTGTTTAATCAATAATTCCTGCAGGAGGTGAAATATAAATAAAAAACCAAAGCATTATAGAACCTGTTGCTCATGGGTTCTAGCAAGTTGACTCTACTCTTTCTGACCCCTTCTGAAGTCCAGGAAGCTTTAGGATTTAGGAAGGTTTTTTGTTGTTTCATTCTAAGCATTCAGTACTTCTGTTGGAATCTCAGAGCAGGGGCAAGGGATGGAAAAAGAAGGCGTGGCTTTTATAATTTCCAGGCGGTATCACGTCCTGAAATAGTGTGGTGGCAGTGGGCCAACCCAGTGTGGGGGAAGCTCCCACAGCCGGTTTCCTGGCCCTGGGACTTTGGAGTGCCCTTCCTGGTGTGCATACACTGCTTGTATCTGTGTTTGGCAGTGGGGTGGAGACGGTGAACAGGTGCCAGTGGGGCACAGGCTGGTGGCATCAGGACCCCTCATGCTGGCCCTGAATTCTTAAGAAGGAGTGAGCCATCTCTGGAGAGGAACTACAGCTCAGACCCTGTCTACACTGGAGGCATTTGGGAATGCGCGGAGCGGCAGGCAGAACTGAGGAGGCAGAGGAAAGCACCCAGGGTTGCCCAGGCTTCGCTGGGTTTGGGAAAGGAGGACCGACTGGTGGAGAAAAAGCCAGTACTGTGAGGGTCCACTGCAGGCTGTTGTGGGAGCCCATGCCTGGAATGTGTGTCCTGTCGGGAAGGCATGCTGTATTTACTCTGGCAGGCTCCTTGGTAAAGCCATGCTAGGCCGCAGCCGGGATACTGTCAGCTATGAAAGAGCACCTCACCTACTGCACCGTGCTTTCCGCTGGCCTCTGGGCATTTGCGGTTCATCTGTTTAGATTTCGAGGCCTGCACACTGCCCCCTTTGTGGAAAGCTGCTGTGGCCGAGAGACTCTGATTCCTTTTTATTTTATTTTTTTCTGTATTAGGACTTAAGCTACTGCCCAAGATTGGGCCAAGATGTGGTTGTCATGGCAACAGCACCCTCGCCTACCTAAGAATGATTCCTTTCTCTCCCAGAGGTAATGTGGTGTCTGCAGCCCCTGCCCGGTCTCAGTGGGTGCCGCCTGAGAAGTCATTTCTGGAATGTGGGGTGGGGGGCACCACTGCCCCTGTTGACAGTGTTGTTCCTGTTCCTTCCTACTGTCTGCTGCCCACATCCATCCTCAACACAATATTCATGAATTTGGTCAAACCCGGTTTGAAACTTTACCTCCTACTTCTGCATCTTTCTTTTTCCAGTTCAGGAAAAGTCAGCAGACTTTTACTGAAGTGGCATGGCCAGTAGGCAGAAGGCTCCAGATTAAAGTTTTTGAGTTTGAATTGCAGCTTCAACATATGCTAAATGTACGTCCTCAGGCAAGTTTCCTAGTCCTATTTTCTTATCTATAAAGTGGGGCTAAATAATAGTACTTTCCTGATAGGGTTTCAGGGAAGATTAAATCGAGATTATGTGTGCAAAATTCTTGGCACAGTGCCTGACACATAGTAAGAACTCACAAACTATTAGTTTTTATGATGTGTCAGAAGCTGTGCATGGCTCTTTTAGGCCGAAACAATACAAAAGGCAGCCAACAGAAACACATTACCTGCAGCCACAGGCCCGAGTCCTTCCCAGCCTTCGGACCCGCATGCCCAGCCTTCCACATTCGGCCTGGTTTCTGACCTATTACTGGTTACTGGGTCATCAGTTACTCTCAGTCTGTTCTTGTAGTTCACAGTCAACATGCATCCATCCTAGCTTGCCCTGACCTTGGTAACTGCTTCTCTTTCCAGAATCAATCCTTACCTCTGTTTTTTTCCCCTCATTTGGACTTCCTGTTGGCAAGATATAGTCTCCAGAGCTGAGTTGCTGTTGCTTATGCTGTTGGACATATCTATAAATAAGGTTTTGTTCCAGGCTTACATAAGTGGCCAGCTCAGCGCCTCTCCAAACAAGTGTTGCTGCCTCTATTCTGTCACACTACCTGTTCCCAGTGGGCATGTTGGAGGAGCTCAGGCCACTGTGGCTGCTGTCTCAGCAGAGAGCTGCATGGCTCAGGAACTGCCCCGTTCCTGCCCTGCAGCTGAGTTCACCCCAGTACAAGGCAGGCTCCCCCTAGCATCCTGGACCTGGCCCCTTCTTGCCTGACAGGATGCCCTATGTCCTTGTGGGCATGTTCACCAAGCTTCCATCTCCCCCATTCAAACCTTCAGTTCCACCTGGGTAAGACCTGATTTCACCTGACAGATACCTAATGGACCAGGTGGAGAGATCAGCCAACCACAGGAGAAGAAACAAAGCCTCCTGCCAAACCCCAAAGTTTATTTAAATAGCAGCAAAACAATCTGCTTTCACACTGTGCCATCATTTCTTATATAGGTCTGCGTTATAAAGTAGGAGAGCCACTTGTCACATGTAGTTATTAAGTGCTTGAAATGTGGCTTATCTGAATTGAGAAGTGCTATGCATATAAAATACACACTGCATCTTGGACTTAGTACAAAAAATAAACGATCTGGTTAATATTTTTATACTGATTACATGTTGAAATGATAATATTTTAGATATACTGTGTTAAATAAGATATATTATTAAATTAATTTCACCTGTTTATTTTTACTTTTTAAAAATGGCTCCTAGAAAAATTTAAATTACACATATGGCTCTCATGTGTAACTTAGATTATTTTTCTATTAGACAGTGCTTCTCTAGATTGTGGTCTTTCTGAAATAAGTTAGGGTTCAAGGAAAATGTATATTACTCTAGGTACTTTAATCAGAGAGGGATTTAGCATGGGGAAGAAATTAAGTGCTTACAAAAGTAAGGCCGGAGGAATGAAAATCAGCACTGGGTGTGGGCGAGTGGAGAATGGGTCTCCTTAACTTTCAGGCTGTCTGCTGGCTTTCAGAGAATTGGGAAGTACTGCTCAGAGCAGAGGTAAGAAAACTGCAAGAAAAGCTGTTAACGGTCTCAGCTGCCTCACAACACTCAGATGGATGGCTGGTTCAATAGCTGCTGTAAAAACCTCACATCGGACAAAGCCCATGTGTCCATTACCGATGCTAGAGGAAGAAAAATAGGTCCTCTTTCCTTCCTCTGCCTTCCAAATCTCATGCAAACATACCTCCTCGGGCAGAATGCAAATCACATGCAGGATCCTGGATGCCATGACTTCCAGCCTTGTGATGTACAGTAGCCAGAAAGGGGTGTAGAATAATTGTTGAAAATAAACAGACAAAAACAAGACAAAACAAAAGAGCCTCAATATTCAGCACACTCCTTAAGGAGTCATATTCATCTTGCAGTGTAGCATTGTGGCTGCCTGGCACATAATAGGTGTTCACTGAATATTGAAAAACTTTTTTTGTGTGTGTGGATATTTACTTGGTTCCAGTATTTTGCTATTGCTGATAATGCTCCAATGGATATTTTAATGTATGACTTTTCTTGTTTTTATTGAAATATTATCTAGGGATAGATATTCAGGAGTGGCATTGCCAGGCAGCTGAGTCTGGGGAGGTCTCTCCCTGCACATTAGGTGAAACCTCAGCCAGGATGGGGGAGGATCCCTGACTCTGATCCTTCTGAAAGAATATACAAGCAGGTCAGATGAGTGTAGATAAGGAAGGAATTCATTAAGTGAGAGTAGTAGTGAGTGGCCGCAGCCACATAGGCAGTCGAGAGCAAAGGAGAACAGAGGGAGGAAAGAAAGTTCATTGAACTCCTGCTGCCATAGGGCAGACCCCTTGCCAGCTCCCAGAGCCAGGGTTACCTGGCGTCCAGTGACTGCCTGACCTGCATGGTGTGGAAACTAAACCCCTACCATGCAAGGATGTGGGGAAGCCATGGAGCACAGGATGGAGTGAGATTATGTTTGAGGACTTCCCCAAAACAAAGAAAGGAGATTTTCAGGCAGGCTGCTACAGAGCATGATTGTGTAGCTGCAGTCCCATCTGAGCCACCCAGGCGAAGGGAACTTGCAGCCCAAATCAGAGATCTCAGTAGCCCTTCCCTACTTGTCTGAGGTACAACAGAGAAAGAGAAGACTTGTGATTAAGTCTACAAAATGGAATGAAATAGCAAAGTAACAAAGACACTTACTTCTGGGAAAAGAGGTCTCTTATTAATCTCCCGAGAGACTTGGAAGAGCACAGAGGCAAAATGCAATAAGCTGAGCAGCAAGAGGTTTTATTTGAGACAAAGTACACACTCGAAAATAGGGGAGTGTGGGCAGCCTCAGAGGAGAGGTGCCCTTAAAGGTTTAGGATTTGTGTTTTTTAAGGATTTCAAGAATGGGATAAAGGGCCAGAGGGGTGCAGGCTGATGTATGATCCTATGATGTCTATCCTCAAGATATTCTGTAAGATAAACTTAACACAAGGAATTTCTTGTTCTGTTATTCTCTAGGATAGTGGTGACCCTAAGACCTGGAAACACATCAGTAGGGGCTACTTGCCCTGCCTTAAGAGGGTCAGTTGTTGGCTGATTACTGTAACGTGTGTTAGGAATCTTACCTCCTGACTCCCTGATTTTTAAAATGGAATCTCAGCCTTAAGATGGAGTCCCTCTTATTCTTACTATACTATTTATGTTTCAGCTTTTTCATCATGGGCAGGAAAAATTAATCATAATCCTCATCCCATGCCCTTGCTCTACCTCAGTAAGATTGCTGAGAATTGCTGTTTTTTTGTTATGCTGCTTTCCAAAAATTCTTCACCAATCTGAAGTCATGCATATATTATACATACAGGACCTATGTGGAGGATGGATTTTTATGGCAATGTCTTTAACCCTGTGCATTATCACTGTTTGCTTATTTTTGTTCTAATTCACTATACGTAGGGTAAGCTGTTGGGCTGAGCACTGGTGAGGCCCTTGGCAGAAGGGTTACAGATGGGGCTGACTGTCTCAGTTGCAGAAATCATGATCTCTCTCATCATCGAAGGTCCCCAGCTGCCAAGAACTTTGCCCAGTTTAAGTCTTCACCATTGTTTCATAGGTTTCCCTTTAAGCTTAACAAGAAAGTGTGAAAAACTCTGAATCACTGAATTCTTCCCTGCTTCCAGTGACAGTTAAGACTAATGACATAGATGTATGACGTTTGTCTCAAAGAGGGAAATGTTTAAAGATAATAGCTAAATGAACCTTTCATTTTCTTCCCTGAATCTTGCTGTGTTTCATGATGGGACCCATGTGTTTATGAGTGATATCTCAAGAAGAAATACATATCTTAATTCTCTGTAAGGACAAGATGATCTAAGGGATGCACAGATGATGCATCAGGCTAGAAAAAGGTTTAGGTCCCTTACCTGGAAGAAATAACAGGATACCTCATAGGATGTCTGTGAGAATCAGATGATTTAATACACAGTAAGTGTGCAGTGAGCGGTGGGTGCCATTGGGATGGGTGAAGCTGTGTGTGTTCTTCAGTCTGAGCCCTGATGCCATCAGCCACCTGTACCCTGAGCTGTATTTTGTTTTATGTCGTAGCCAAGTGAAAGGCTGTTGGCACTTAGGCAGTTATCTGTGAAAGGCCTGTAGCCATCCTGGGGTTTATGAACAGGAAGACGTGTACCAGGTGCCTAGAATTACAATGTGTTGAGTCAAAGAATGGCTGAGCTGGTGACATCATTAGTGATATCATTTTATAGATGAAGAAATGGAGGCTCAAGAAAATGAAGTGAAAGACCCAAGATTTCCCAGCAAGTTAATAGGAGACCTCAGTGTACAAGCCTAGTCTTCAGACTCCCAGACCAGTCTCCTGCTTCCACAAGCATACCACCCCCAACAGCTGGCTGATGTCACATGTGGGAACCAGTGGCGGTGGTGGAGGGGCATGATGCCTCTGATATTGTCCCTTCCCTAGGCCAAAGGAGGGAGGAGATGCTCTTTTGCTAGAGATCCAGTTTCCCTGGAGTACTGATTCCCACCCTTTCTAAGAATGAAGAATCCTTTCTAACATCAATACATTTCATAGACCTCCCCTGCACCATGACACAGAAGCTGTAGCCTGGATATCCAATCCTGGAGATGTACTGTGATACTAGCTGCTATAAACTTAACAGTGCTTACACTGGAGGCGTGAATGCCCTCAAAAGTGATTGTGCTTATATGAATTATTCAGACTACAAATAATGATTCAATGGCATTTAGATGTGCGAACACCTTGTAATAACTCCACCACCTCACCAGATGACACCCATTACCATGGAAGGCTGTTGTTTTCCTTTATTTTCCGAGTTCCAAAAGGAGGATACTAATTTAGGAGTAATGTAGCAAAAATAAAGAAGCTAGAACATTCTAGTCCTTTTTCTAAAATAATACAAGGCTAAGCTCTCAGCTACAAGGAGAGAGGCTTGAGTAGGAAAAAAACACACAACAAAGCTCTCTTCTGTTCTTTCATCTGACTGCACTGGTAAATTGATACCCAACTGAGATGGCTGGCCCCAACAGTCTGAGATGCAAAGTATTTGGGGGCAGTTATGGTTCATTAACTGCAATGAAAAACACAGAGGGACAGTCGAAGCTAGAGATTTGGCAGCCAGACACATACGTTTTCTGATGTTAGATAATATACATATGACAGAAATAGATTCAAGTTCCAAAATCCTGACTCATTTTGCCTATCCCACAGCAGAGCTGAGAAATGTGGAAAGAGAGGTGAGTTTCGGGGAGATGGTTCTGCTGGGCATATACATCTGCCTCTTTGTCATGGTTTTGGGGCTAGGCTGGGTCCGGGAAAGCGGCTGTCAGCAGAGAGAGCTCCCAACTGCTGGCCTCTCCTGGGGCTCCCACGCAGTGCCTCGAGCCATGGTGGGAGGCACTCCAGGTGATGGCAGCATGAGAGGTCAGTGATTCCTCTCCACAGGGCAAACATTTATAGGAACAGACAAAATTGGCAACCATTTCAAAGCACTGCAAACTGGCCAACAGCAGATGACAAACAGAAGCTTTTATTCTTGAAAACCTGCTGGATTTTGGACAAGAGCAGCAGGGGTGTGTGGCCTCCTCGCCCGGAGCTGCTCCGTGCCCTCTGCCAGCTCAATGAGCCAGGAAAGTGTGAGGCTGGCCATGAAAACGAGCACTTCGATGCCTGAAAGGACTGACTCCATTTGGCACAAGCGTGTGTGTGTGTGTGTGAACCTGTGGCTTTGCTGGCTGAAGAAATGAAGAAAACCTGTGACTCTGTTGGCCCAAGATTTCGTTCTTGGTGGGAGTGAGCTGTAGACCTGCCAGAAATGTAATGGGGGAAGAAGCCCTGGAAGTGAAAGAGTGCCACAAAGAAGCTGAGAAATTCTTCATGTATTCCCGCCTGGCTGGGAAATTATGCAGGCACGGAGGAGGCCCAAGAGGGCCCAGAGAAAGCTGAAAACCAAGGAGAATTGAGATCTGACTGTAACTTTCAATGTGGTCTTCAGTTGGTATCAATTTACCAGTGCACTCACACACGGTTATCAGCAGTAGTGGGATGGAGCCGAGGCCAGCAGCCTCCC